TTAGACATAAAACACCACTAGAACCTTCAAGCTTGGTGCTCTACTCAGCACTTAATATCACATATGATATCACAATATCAGTAGATAAAATATCAACTTAAATCTGGGTCAGGTGTTGTATTTCAGCCAAAGTGCAAACCCTGGCATTTTGTGAGACCCGACAAAGGTTATTAGATATCGCGCCAAGCAAGACTTATTAGTTTTGTCAGAATAAATGTTAAATACAGGAATTGGTATTTTAAAATAACATGTTAAGACTCGTATTTTGAAAAAAATATATTTATCTGGTCGAAAACTTTGAAGACGTGAGAAAATTTATCATTTAATAGTTTTATAACTATTATAAGCACAATTTATTGATAAATACTATTGGTATTTATTTATTTATTTATCAATATTGGTATTGTTTGGTATATTGGTATATTGGTATATTTGGTGTATTGATTGGTATTGTTTCTATCATAGGGTACGAGAATGGCAAGAGTTATTTTGTAAAAAAGGACTATTTCTAAATGTCGCTTTCTTACAAAAAAATTTACTTATTTCTTTATTTTGTTCTCGGAGACCTTTACTTCTTTGAGAGCTTTATTCACCCCTGTATAGTTTCATTAGGCCTATTTATAAACATGCAGTATGTACTCAAACATTTTCTAGTACTAAATATTGTACACTATAAAGCTTGCTTTGACGTCTTTCTTATTTTAAGGTAAAATTATACATTGCGTGCCTTAAATATTGATTTAAATTCTAGAGGATACTCCTGGTTTATATATAAATCACATTATTTTCCAAAATCCACTTAATAATTGGTGAAATGTAAAATAAATAAATAATGAAAATCGTAACACGTCTTTTTTCATATTTATACTATACAGAAACTTACCTTACAGATCTCTACAATGCAATCCACGCTAAAACTGTCCACATAGTTGATCTTCTAAGGCTCCAAACATCAAAAGTCTACCCTCTTACAGACTGATGAACACTTTCATTACACTCTAATAAAACCCAAACCATAAAATAACACTTCCCAATCAAAGTGGTGAAGTAGTGCTAATGGACTATAAACAGAGGAACATGAATCGAACCGTCCTAAATGGAATATCAAAATAAAAGAGTCACCGAAGATGCAAGCTAAAGCAGTCAGTTGGAGGGTAAATTGGGCATATAGATTATAAACATACATCCAGGATATCAATGTATCCATACAGCTATAGGCTTAAATCATACACTCCTGCTTGAACACGTTAACTTCTACTATTACCAACAGAAACAAACCTTGATTTGTTATCACCCGATCTTTCTGAAAGCTTGTTACAGGTTTTTGTTGTGTCTTACAAAAAGAAAACTGTTTAAACATTGACTTGGAATATTACAATAAACTTATCACCTTATTGTAACGTCTTAATTCTGTTTGATGTGCGTTACTTTAACATTCAAAGTGTGCTTAAACATATTTTTAAACTAGATCCAGGTTTTTTCACGTTACTTCACACTAGTAGTTTGTTAGAAGTTCGGCATTGTCATTTAGATTACATCCATTGGTGATTGGCGGGATTTGAACCCAGACCTCGGTGATAGAAGTTTCTTGCTCTAGAACAGCTTGCTCCCTAACTGTATATAGTCTATACATATTTCATTGTGTTGTTGTTATAAAGGAAAGAAATGGTTTACATCCGTTGGTGAAGTTCATGAGCATAATACAAGGTCAAATAGAAATTTGTTCTATCCCAGAACTAGGCTTGAAAAAACTTTGAAATCTTTTCCTGTTTCAGGTATACGTTTTTTTAACAAGCTGCCTGTCACCGTCAGAAACCTTCCCCTTCCAAGATTCACTCAGGTTATGAAGTCTTGGCTCATTCTGCATCCTTTTTACCACACTAATGAATTTTACAACACCAACCTCAACACCTCTTCTGCCCTATTAAACCCTTAACCGCTGTACCTTCCATCCGGACCAAATCAGGTTTCATATTTATATTTTTCCAAATCAGGTTTCATATTTATATTTTTTGTCATTCTTATGTAAGTTTGTGAAGCACTTGCATTGTGATTTGTGATTTGCACTGTTCTAGATATAAGCATGACGAAGCCTATTGTATTTATTGTAAATATTTAACGGCAAATAAATCTTTGAATCTTTGAATCCCTAACGCTATAGGGGCAAAACTGGGAGTACGTTTAATTGATGTCTCAATTCAATCATCGGTAAATGTGTATTCTAGATCGTTTAAAGTAGAGAACGAATACATTCCTAGGATGAAGCTTCCTCGAATACAAACGAGTATTCTTAGGATGAAGGTAGCGCCTTTAAATTTGAATCGATCTTTGAGGTATACCCATACATAAAACATACTCCCTCATCTAAAGTTTGGAACCTGGAAACACTTTTCCCTGTGCATAAAAAAAAAGCAATATAACTTTATCCGATTGTGTACCTTATGACAGCTGCAGACTTAGAATGGTTTCTACAACGTTTGTGAGTATAGAGTAGTAACTGAAATAGTTAACTCATCTGTAAAAACCAACTAAAGCCATGAAAAAAATCATAGTTTCATAAGCCATTTGTAGAGTGTGTTACTGTCTAAAATTGTATTTCAGTGATTTTTTTTGTCATTTCAATATTTTATGTGACATAAAATTTAATATGCTATAGTTAACAATAAGTTGTCTATTCAAGATGGGCTCAATGAAAGGTTGGCGTATTTGCCAGAAATCCGTCATCAACATCAGCATTTCGTGGTTCAATTCAACTAACTCAGTCAGTATTTAAACCGGGTTCAACTTTAAATGGGAATGAAATGTCTAGTTCTATCTACAATAAAATATTATAGTCAACCATTCCTTGGCAATTAATTAACACACCGTTTACCTCTTCAACATATGTTCGACATATGTGGTCTATGACAGTATGACACCCACTGGTCATAAATAACCAGCTGTTTAGCTTCCTCCTGAATCACTTACATTTGGACCGGAAGTGGTTTTTAGCGCGAAAACCGCGATGAAATTAAGAACTAAAAATAATTGCAACTCAGGTTTCTCCGTAAACAGCGTTGACTAGCATCCCGCTTTTTTACATTTCAGTCGATGACAGCAACAACAGTTACGTCATCTTGGTTACCCGCCAATCTATGGTGGATTCCCGCCAAAACTGTACCTCCTCGCTTCGTATCACTCGCTGTAACGCCTCTAGAATGTTTCAATGAAAAGTTGGGTGTTGAATTGTACATATAAAATCCATTGTTATGACTGATACTACATTAGTGCAAATTTAAAACCTTTGCATATGGTTAGAACCATGTACATTCTAACATAAAGTTGCAGACGATGTCATGAAAAAAATTAAATCAATTAATAAAAGAATATTATACACAGTATACACAAACTAAGAGAGAAAATAAATAATATACTGTAGAACAGTTTGTATAATGGCAAATTAAACTATGTTGTTTTAAGTAAAAAAAAATGCTACAACTGGTTCTTATATACAAGATGTGTACTTCGGTATCCACAAATCAATGATAAAACGTAAAAGTCTTTTTTCAATATTGTTTACAAATCAGTACTTTTTAAATTATGACTACCTCAACTAATTATTATTTTTTTATGGTATGAATCAAAATCTTCTTTATTTAAATAATACTTCTAATGTTTATTTGTAAAACTAATCAATCAATTAGCTAGTCAATCAAAAGTTTTTTATGTAATTTATAAATGAAGAAAGCTTAATTTAATATGTGGTAAAATAGATCACTTAATCGATTAATTTATCACTATAGCTCATAATGAAATCTACAGATTATTTTTCAAATATTCTAAACCACATTGTATTGCAAAATTTTGGTTACGTTCTTTGTTTGGAAGAAACCACTCGGTTAAACATCAATCACGAAATGGAAGTTACACATTTCCTTAGATAAGAACGCGCGTAAAAATGTGATTGTTCTTTGCGTCATTAAAATTATCATCTATGTATTCATCAGTGATAAAACTGATTTGTCATAACCGCCTTAACAATATGTTAGTCATGTGTCCATATACATATGTACATTTAGTTAAAACGAACAATAATCGATAACCTTACCCTTACAAACCCTAATAGCAATGTTTTTCTACCTACGAGATAGGGTCATACGTATAGTCGACTGTACTTCGAAAATTAAATATCAAAAAGTATTGTGACAACATTTGTTGAATATTGTGACAATAGAAAAAGCTATTTATATTTAGGCTACACACTGTAAGTGACATGTACATATTGTTGACGTCATGGGAGTGATGTGAATATACACTTTAGATTGGTATACTGCAAATTTAGATCATATCACACAATTCTGAAGCACCCTAAGACTAAGTTAAGAAAGTTACATTTTCTATAGACTTCGTCCAACAGATCTTGAGGAAGTCTTCGCCGTATCCTATTTAGTTTTGTTTCGCCAATACTGAAAATCCAGAAACATTGCATAAACATTTTAGATATTTTAATTAAATGTGGATCATGTGGATTTTTCAATGGCGGTCTCAATATACTCTACTACAAGCTCTTCGTGTTTATATTTGTTTCTATTGAACCACGGAGGATTCACAGTCATTCTAAGAATTTTGCTTTGGATCACTTGAATTTTGAATTGTTTATTTTTTTATACAGCCAATCCTCAGATAGGTTATGCATTATGTCATTAACTAGTTATTTGTAGATCAAAAGTGCACAAGCCAGTTTTAGGGAAAATTTTCTATTGATCAAAGAGAAAATTGTTATTTAAATTAGTATTTTTTTCGTACACATTTAACATGTGTTAGAAGTTCATGTGTAGAAGAACTCTACAGTTTCTTAATGCGGGGATGACGAATTCTGCTGAACTGACAAAAATGCATGCTTTATGACGCTTCATACTACATTGTATACGTGGAATAGAGTCGTCTGATTCATCCCATGCATAGTGGTATCCCTCGCCGCGCCAAGTGAACGTGTCACCAGCAGTAGTGTAGGGAGGCGCACCATCGCACCACGGTCCACGCCGCGCTCAGTTCAGTTCAGTCCGCCGCTGATAGTCGACTTGCTCAGGTGTGTGTGGTTATTGTGCTGTGCCGGCAACTTTACTGTTCAACCATGAATCGTTCAACGTTCTGGCTTCTGTGCCTCTTGGGATGCGCCTTATTCAATCAAGGTAAAATTTTATATTTTTTAAAAGTTGTTTAACGTTTTTTCACGTGAATCTCAATCGGATGGGAAAGGTTTGTGTAAAAGTTTGATTGTGCATATGACTGTGTAAAGTGTTAGGCCTACTGGTAGTTGTTTAATAAAAAAAATTGGGTTAAAAAGGGGGTTAAAAAATTCTGTTAAGGCTACTGTTAACAATGTGAGAAATCGCCCACACGTTTTATGAGCAGTGACTGAGTGACTTATATACTGTATGATACTTAGTAAAAAAGCAAAATTTCGAAAAATATTCTTCTAAAGATTGCAAAAGTTTCAATCTTTTCCAACGTATAGAAAATACACAGTTTTAAACATTTAATTGCACATTATGAAATTATTTATAAAACTAATGTTTACTTTTCTGTATGTTTCGAAATATGCTGTGTACGGCCTTTGGGATTATTGTATTCCAGCAACTAGACACAAATCTTCTCCACATACATCTTCCGAGCAAATCTTTACCTATTCTGTCGTGAAATTGATTCCGCACACAAAAATAAAATTAGCATTAGCCTCACATAAATTTTAACCATAAAGTATAAAGGGTATTCGCAGACCTATTCCCCAGACCTACCCTACAAAGGGGTAGAGGTGCCGATAGACGGACTAGCCGACTCACCCCAGGGGATAAAGGGATGAATTAATATATTCACAGCAAACCTGACCTAGGATATATCAAATAATGTAACCCCTCTCGGTGTTGTGATTATTAGCGATGGGGGACGGAACTGAGAAGGACAAGAGTAGACCTATTTCACTATTGCTCAAAAAGTAAAAATATTTGTTTATTCTGAATTTTATTAGTATTGAATATATTTTGTCTGTACTATCTTTTGGATAAGGCCATAAATACAGGTCATATCAATAAACTGTTGTAAGTGAATGATTAAGTCATGAGGGACGGAGAAGAAAAAAATTAACCCATACAGTATAATTAATGTTCAATGAGCAAAATTATTTTTCAAAAGTTCTAAATTAAATGTGTTTTTAATGTTGTTTGTGAGTATGTCAATATGTTTTGTGAGTCTGAAGGCTCGATACAGCATACAGTAATTACAAGCAATAACATATATATATATGAAATTGATTTTTCAGGTATAGTTTCGTGAGTGGGGAACGAAAATTATGTTCCAATTATAACTTTTAAGTCCAGTTTTTATAATTACTAGTTTAATTCAAATCTATGAAATACAAGAGCAATACTATAGGCCTAAGTGACAATTTAAAATAGAAACACACCAACGACTTGGATTTCTATATATTTGGCATTCCGGCATTTAATAAAGCAAAACTAATTTCAGTATCGTTTAAAACTCATTAATTTATCAAAATTAGAGTGTTCAGAATAAATACTTCATCTATGGTTCTACCAACTGCTTCCGTTAACACTTCATCACAAGCTGTGGCAAAAAAGTTAATGCGCGGAACTGGCGGACAAAAAAGTTAACCGCGTGTTCGTGAGAACTACTTTCTGGGGGCCTTCGGAATCAAATAGAATGTCAACAATAAATATCATAGTTAGTTATATCAGTTACCTCCTTGTGTTACATGGTTATACCTTTCAATTTTCTTTTATCAATTTCAACAGATTCTGTCTTTACGAATGTTACTGAAAATAACAGTTGCAAACTACGACATATTGCATTTATGTAGTTCCCAGGCGTTACTAAAGTTGCTAATATGTCAGTGTTATCTATAAAGTGTTACTATCTGAGAGATATCGAGGGTTATTGGGCGATAAGCCTTTGCAGGCATGAGATAACTAAGATACAACTGTACAGTAATGTAGTTATACCAAACGTAACATTATACCAACTGTTGTGTAAAATATAAACATCTAAATTGTAAACTATAAATTACCAGTTTCCAGCTATATATACTCCTTTATTTCATCAATTGATAGTGTACTTCTATCAAACAGAGGCACAAACAAGAGAAGTAACATTACTTCTTCTCCTGCCTGTGACAGTAACTCCTTCATATAGAGGGCGGGGCAGCACAGTTCACAGTTTGATGGATAAGGCGGTTGCAAATTAAATGAGACCGTAATTTCAAATTGTTATTCCGCTGTCGTAAAATTTGCATAGGAGATCTATCGTCTGCATCCTGTTTACAAAGCTTAACAAATCGCTTATTTTTCGTAGTTTGTAGAAAAAGTTAAGAAGAATTTGTAACCCAGTAACCTGGTTATAAAAAGCAGGGTCTACCTTGCATGAAATGGGGTAGTAGGTTTCTTTTTTTTATGTTGTTAGTAATATTACCGAGATGCTAAATCCAAATTTTCGACCTCGGCGACCTTCCGGATCACCTCCAAAAAGCTTAAAAATCGGCGGAATTTCGCACTATTTTTACGTTTGTGTGATTTTGACCCTGAAGCATCACTTTTTCATAAAGAACAACCACAACCATTTTTAAAGTACATTAAATTACCTATCGTTTAAGACCAAAATAGTTATTACAGGCCTAATAGTTTTCAAGATATGACTCAGCAAACAACAGCTAAAATTATAAAATTTTGAAATTTTTTAAAGTTTGGCTAACGTTAACCCTAAAGCATAACTTCCTCATTATTCTTCATTGAAACAACCTCATTTACTTTAAAACTACATTAAATTACTCACAATATAAGACCAAACTGGTGATTATAGGCCTAACACATTGAGAGATATGACTCTCTCAAGTTTCATAAAATCTTCCATAAATGTTTGTATTTTAAGATTCAAGCTATTCAATTTGGTCAAATTTTATAAAAGAACCATAATAAGAATACTAGAGGTCCCATGCTGCTCTGCAGCGTTGAAATAAATATAAAATCGTAGAAATAATCTAATTTATGATTTTTGTTTGAGTAATACAGTATCTTGAACTTAAATGATTCAAACGATAAATATCTAAAATTAAATCCTAAAATTGACTGATTATTTTTAGTCTAAAACCTACATAAAAACATTAAAAATACTGCAGCTATTAAATTTTACATATATAAAATCCTTATGAAAAATAGTTTTTATATTGGTTGTTCACCTTGCGTTTGCTCGATACTCGTCCGATTTGAATAATAGCTTAAGAAAACCAGTATTTCACTGAAGGTTCTTAGATTAAAATATATAGGATTGTAAAATTATAACTGGTGAAGGTACATCTTAAATTGGAGTAGAGTTAGAAAATAAATCAAATTATGAGTTTCGGTCGATTAATACGGTAGGTAAATATTTGCCGATGCTTTATGTGAAAACTTGGCATCTATGCCTTCAATTTGAGAACCCAATCATGAAAATCGATCGTGCAGAAGAGCCAAACCAACTCGGAAAAGAAAAACAAATGTTGTAATATATAAGATAAACAAATTTATATTTTATTCAAAAACAGATTATAAGTTGTTTTTAATGGAATAAATCTATTGTAATTCAAATGTTCATAGGCCTACTATCAAGAGGAATTGATAGAAATAATGAAGAGGCGACAGTGAAAAAAGGTTTTAACTTTGCTGTCGTTCTGCAATGCTACATATTACTTCTTTTATGCCAAGTTTTTGCATCGGTAACTGCAGAATATGTTGAAATTAGGAAACAAAATGAATTTCAATAAACACCAGCTATTTACCACCAACGGGTTCTTCACCATTGTGTGTTCTGAAAAGTTCTAGACGGGAGTTTGGACAGACATGACTATAGAGCAGGTGCTCATTTGTTTAATGAAAAGCTATGTAGGTTTGAGTCGGGACCATGGTATAACTGACACCGTGCTCACCCGATGGACACTAGGACTGATATAATTTATCTGTAGAATATAAGTGCTGAAGTTGAGGAGTAGGCCTACTGCAATGTTAAGGCAAATACAACTGAGTAGCATGTAGAAATGAGACCCTCACGAGTCACTCGAGTTGGAGCGAATACAGAGAAGCTGTATGACTGGTTACTTCGTCACCCTCCATTCCCTAATACTGATGTTATAATGTTCTTAAGCAATGGAATTGTTGGAGGGAAACTGTCAATGGCTAGAGATATTGACAAGGCAGTGATGTTGAGAGTTTTATGAGAAAAATATGAATAAGTCAAATACAAAATTAAGAATAAAGTAGTATCTCTTTCTTCTGAAGTTAATACTGTGACTGATGGCAATAGAAAGGTGACTATTAACCCCCTCGCCCCTCACACTGTTTCACAGGTTATGCGTTCTAAAGCAGTCGGATGAAGAATTAAAGCACTTCTTTACACATTGATTCTCACCATTACCCATGTCTCAATTGAATGAAAAATTAAATTATAGTTCACACGTCCAAACGTCTCAAGTTAGTCATACAAGTCTATCTTCAACTGATACCCTCACAGGACGAGTTCATGTCCAAAGGTACAAGGATCATCTAATCACAGACGCCATCGCCCTCAGTGTTCTCCAACCTGCTCCCGCGACAATAAAAATACAATAAATAGCGTTCTACACAGGCCTGTGTTCTATCCACGAGAACCATATTGTAACAATGTACGTGCGTGTTTATGTAGATAGATACGATAGATTTGTTTCCATTTTAACAGTTTTTAATTTATAAAACAATATAGTGTTGAAATGAAATAAATTTGTTTATTTGTTATTATGGTTCTTTTATAAAATTTGGCCAAATTGAATAGCTTGAATCTTAAAATACAAACATTTATGGAAGATTTTATGAAACTTGAAGGGTCATATCTCTCAATGTGTTTGGCCTATAATCACCATTTTGGTCTTAAATTGTGAGTAACTTAATGTAGTTTTAAAGTAATTGAGTTTGTTTCAATGAAAAATAATGTGGAAGTTATGCTTTAGGGTTAACGTTAGCCAAACTTTAAAAATTTTCAAAATTTTATAATTTTAGCCGTTGTTTGCTGAGTCATATCTTGAAAACTATTAGGCCTGTAATAACTATTTTGGTCTTAAACGATAGGTAATTTAATGTACTTTAAAAATGATTATGGCTGTTCTTTATGAAAA